CAAAGTTGTGTGTAGTGAATTCCAGAGATGAGGATGTCTACATTTGATAAGCTGATGATTGGAAGTGTGACAATAAGGTAAATAAAAATCCTTTGAGCTCAAGGAGTGAAAGTGAATGTCAGACAATATAAAAGAAAAAAATGAATTGTATCTGGAAGGTTTTGTTTGTGATATATGCATTTAAACATAGACACACGTTAGAAGTGTATTTACAGAATAGACAGACAAAGTTTACATTTCCTAAACAAAGGTGCAGATGGCTCTCACCTACAGCAGTTACAAATCACTGAATGTGAATTGTTCTGTAGTGCGCTGCCGAGAGCGGGAGAGGGAAGAGATGTTCCTTTTCTTAGGCTGGGGAGCTTTTGAAGGAACCGATTTCCTGGTCCTTTTGCGGCCACGAGCAGGCGCTGTGGGGGAGCCAGTTAGAGAAGGTGAAACATTAGCACTGGATATTCTATCGTGTCAAAGCTTGTGGCTTGAACTGCCATTTCCCAAAGCTGTGAATAAGGGAGGCCTGGAGCAGGAGTGATGCCTCTGTTAAAATGAGCTACCATCAGTTAAGAACCACCCCAGTCTCAACCTCTCTTCACTGGCTCCATGTTCACTTCAGAACTCAGTTTAAGACCCTGCTGATGAGTTTAAAGACTCTTAACGTGCAGGCCTGACCTCACATCAGATCTTATTCATTGGCATCTCTCAGATCTGAGAGCTCATCTGTCCTGTGCGTCCCACAATCACGAATAAAACCAAAAAATGTAACAGTCTTTGCAGTTGCTAGATTTTCTGACCACATTAAAACCTTTACCTTTTCCCTGGAGGATGCGGAGTTTGGTTCTAATTCATCACCGGGCTCCAATGATTTTTACATTTTTTTTTTAAGAAATTACATTAAAACTTTGCACAACAACTGTAAAGAAAAGATAAGTAAAGATAAGTCTTCTGTCTCCAACATCCCTGCCATCCTCGCTATTCCACGTGTGCCATAAAAACACATTTCAATTAACAGTTCAAAAGAGGCACAGAGGGGAAAACCATTAACGGCTAAGTTATACATGATACTATCAAACCCAAGGAGGATCATGTGACTTGTGTTGGCTCAGAGAAAATAAATGTGTTCTGTTCGTCCTGGCTCTCCCTTTAAATATAATCCTGCTTCAGAAGTCTAAATATGGACACACCAGTATAACAAAGTACATAAAAACAGGCACATTTTGAACAGGCTGAAACATAGTTAATGGTAATAACTTCACAGAGATTACTTTGAAGTTAGTAGTAGTAGTAGTAGTAGTAGTAGTAGTAGTAACCTCCAAGAATTCTGAACGTGCAGGGCTGCCTTGCAAAGTATTTTACAATCCACATGTGTATTGGACACACTTAAATTTTTGTTGACGTGTTCCTGGAATCCTGCTGCACTATAAACACTGTAGGACTTTATACTAGCCTCAGGTTCGGCGAAATTTGGCAGTGTTGTTTTATGTTTCTTCCAGGGCTTTTTGTTGTTCTCCATCCCTTTAAAATGAAGTAAAACAATATTTGTGTGACACAATGCTTTGAAGCAATGCATGATGTTACATCTGATAAATATAGACCACATGTGATCAATATGGTGACTCTGTAATGGAAACAACAGTTTTTACGATTGTGTGAGGTCAGTGAAACACTTGCCTTTGGAGAATGTGCAGTTTCTGAAAGTCAAACACATCTAAAAAACCTTTAAAGAAAACACAAAAACACATTCACAGTACAGGTGTGCATGTTTATGACCATGGCTCATCAATTCAAGCTACACAATAAAATAATAAAATAACAAATAAAAGGTGTAAGCCAGTTGCTGTCTTAGAAAGATGGCCACCTGCAAAATTGTTGTTCTGCCTCCTGTATCCAACTCCCACAAATTCAAAGTAACCTTAACCTTAACGAAATAGATGTAGCCCCGTGAGATGTGACCCCGACCACACACTGTTTTTGTTAGCTTGTTATATGATCCACTGTGCCGTTATTAAAGTAACTAGTAACGACATCCGTCAAACGAGTTGGAAGTAACAGCCTAATTTCCTCTGAAATGTCTCTGGTTACTTATTTTATTTCTCCATTTATTTCTGGTTTTACTCACTTCAACACATCTCTGTTTTAGTATTTTAGTATTTTATTATTTTTTATTATTTTATTACTTATGTTTATCACTCCGTCGTTATCTTTGTTTTCCAGTCTTCAGCGTTTCCTCAGTGCAAATTTATGAGGATCATGGCAGTGTTTCCTCAGTTGCTGTTACTGTTGTCTTATTTTTATCGTCTTTCATTCATGACTGTCATTTATGGCTCTGTGTGTGTGTGCGTGTGTGTTTGTGTGTGTGTGTGTGTGTGTGTGTGTGTGTGTGTGTGAATAGAGGTCTTTCTGGAACATTGAAGGATGTAAATCTACTTTAGTGAGCACCAAGAATAAAAGGACCTCTGACTATTGAGAACACAGTCCTGACTGGGATGTTATGGATATGTAAAGTGTGATAAGAGGTAGGAGTCACCTGCTGGACTGTGGAACAACATATTGTGGGTGGTGAAAGTGACCATCAAAGAAGCGTAAAGTCAGACCCCTGACCCTAAGATGCCTATGACCCTAAGAGTGACAGTTAGTTGAGCACCTCCCCCAAACACAGCAATCCAGAGCAACATAATCCAATTTCTTGAGTTAAGTAAATGTACAGAGAAGCAGCTGCACCACCTCCTTTACTGTTCCTATGACATCTAAATGAGTTATATCCACTCGTAGATGATTCTTCAGTGCTTCAGTTTTTAAAAAATATATGAATATACTGTATATTTATAACATCAAGTTTTCTCTCCTTTTTAAAGTGCAGAGGATGAAGTTATAACTGTTCTTAAAATCAAGGGATGAAATCATTTGGTGACTAACATGAGATGTGTTTGGAGAGCAGTATTACCAGGAGGATGAGTACTGATACTGATCATTTACACAAGTAAATGTACTTTCTCTTTAACTGGCTGTTGTGCATGAATTTCTATCATTTCATAGCTCTGTTTTCTTCTCTTTCTTTCCATGCGTGACGAAGACTTCCTGAACAGGGTGCAGTATATGGCTTACTTTCTAGAAGGAAGTCTCAATTATTCTTTTCCTGAAGTTTATCTCACAACAGTTTCCTTGACTGAGTCAGTCATTACAGGCACCAGCATTTTTTTATGGGTCAGTTACAGTATGTATCTTACCAAGATCTTGCCAAATGGGATGGGTTAGATGTTATACGGGTGTTTTCCTAACCTTGAGAAGCTTAGCACAAATGCATTATGCTGAATGCTGTATTACTGGGAAAATAAAAACCACAATTCAATCACAGAACAGAATAAGGATGAAGTATTTCAAAGGTTTAATGTCACATCATCCAACAAATGACTGACAGCCATCTTTAATCAACAGGTTGTCCTCAAGGCCAGATCTATTTTGGGTAGCACAAATCACTGTCTTCACTTCACACTCAGTTTGAAGCCCCTCCCTCAGGCCTTAGGGTCACAGTTCCCAGGTTCAGGAGTAATAGAACAAAAAGAAATCTTCATACTGTGTGCAACAACACTGCTAAATGTTCACAAGTAAATTGTCACTTAATAGTGTGTTGTTTTTTTAGTGTCTGATGTTCTTGTTGTGTTTCTTTTTATAGTGTTTTGTAGTGTTTTTATAATGCTGTGTGTTTTATTGTATTGTGTGTATTGTTGCACTTGTGTCGTTTCTTATCAGTTTTTCATTTGACTGCAATTCAAGTTTCCCACTTGGGAAAATAAAATGAAATCTGAATCAACTGTAATCAGTTCATCCATCTATTGGTAAGAGGAGAAATAATCTTCACATTAACAGTGAGTATCATGTGATTCAATGATACTGAGCGTTTCATTTGCCACGGGGAGGTAAGAGTTTAATTTTCTTTAGGACTCTGAGACCTTGTTTGTAAAACAGAGCGTAAGATTCATGCAAAACGTGTACGGACGCACACCATACGAATATGACGTACGCAAAAAAGTCGTCAGAGTCATAAAACCACAAGTTATAAATCAAAATCAACTTAAATATGTGAACATTTTGGCTCCGCCCAGAACACACCCACTATCGAAAAGTCTTTTTTTCTTATGAAGGTTCAAACTGAGTGAAACGAGCTGAAGTTTCTGAGCAGCAGCCATGATCACAGCTGCTCCACTTCTCTAACTGATAAGGAAAGTAGCTTCAATGCTTCCTATCTTATCTCCTTCAGCAGAGGAAACACTGGGCCTTCCTTTGCGAAAGGAAAGGAGACATGCCGTCCCACAATTCCCTGCCACAGTAACATTTAAAGCAACGCACCATTATTGTTTCTGCATTTATGTTGGTCTGCCGTGGTGAAACTATCTAGATCCATAAATATAAATTCATTCTCTTTAAATCTGTCAGGAGTCATAATGAAGAAGCAGATTGAATTTATAGTGAACAATATCATCATCATAACAAAAAACTACAGTCTGTACATAAATGTTGTTTCACTGAATCCCCTCATTGTGTAAAGCAATACAAATGAATTTTCTCTACTTGACAATTGTATAGAAATGTCAAAAGCACCTATGAAACAGCACTTCTTTTTTTTTCTTTCTTAAAGCTTTATTTCTACTTCAGCAGATCCTTCGTGTTAACGTGTAACATTACTGAACTGACACCTGCGGCCTCCTTCTCTAGTTATTGCCAATTCATCTCGCACATCCACTACAGTTCCAGGAGACCTGAGATGTTCGGTTCCAGTTCAGCAGTGTTTACTACCCATGACAGGGTTGGTTGGAAATTCCACCACTTTGTTGACCCATATAGTTTTATTGATATGAGTCAGTCATCATAGTGGGAAGTGTTGGAAAAACATCTGTCTTCCTGCGTCCCGACACGCCACTGACCCAGGAGACAAAGTCCACATGTTTTATGGTTACCTGTGTCAGGTGGCTCAGTGTTCATGTGCAGGTATAAAGAGCAGAGAGCATCGCTCACCTTCCAGACACTTGACCGGCTCTTCACACTTACCTGACTGCTGCTTCTCTCTGTAAGTCAAATTTGTGTTACTGTTGTCTGGATCTGTTACACATTGCACTGATGAACATTGTGTTGTCATGACTTAATGAAATGTGAAACTTTGCCTCCCTCCAGATCTTCATTGCTTTTCATCATGAAGACTCTTCTGATTCTGTCTGTTGTCCTCTGTACTGCTCTCTCTGTCTGGGCTGCAGCAGGTGAGACACAACACGGATACATTATTTCAGTAACACATGTGAAACAGCTGTCATATGTTTAGGGCTGGGGATCAAACTTCCATCCTCTTATTGATCGACTGGTTTGACATCATCCAGGATAAAAAAAAAATGTCCTGATTTGATACCTGAGTAAATCTGATCAGCGTCAGTGAGCCAGTCGGCATGCAGCATGCTCGGACTAGGATGTAATAATGCTGGTCATTGACTGTTTATTTACACATTGAAACTTCAAAATAAAACTACAGTAAAACTAAAATGTGCATCATGATGAGGAAAAGAGAGGTGAATATGGGTCATGGGAGGAGGGAAGGAGGGTTTAGGACATCCCAGGTTACACGTAGTCTTTGTTCCTGAACTCAGTAGAACTTGTTTAGCGCAGTGTTTAACTGTATAAATCTGATCTACTTCGCTGTCTTTCCCTCAGTTGTTCCAGCTGAAGCTGCTACTGTGCAACTGGGAGACAAAGCTGCGCCTGAACCAGGTGATGGGCACATCTTATTGTAAATCTTTCCATCTTGAGTGAGATCACAGACCGCCACAGTGTGTGTTACTATTTATGTGTCTCAAACTGCAGCCATCATGCTGAAGTGTGAAGTGCTTTGTATCATCACACGGGTGTTTCTCATTGTCTTTGTGAAACATTGCTGAAGTGTCTCAGCACAGACAACAGCACTGGTTTGAGCCTGAGTCAGTGATGGGTACACCTCAGCTCTACATCACGTACAATAGAACAAGTATCAACTACTGCTGCTTTATTAGTGATCTGTACAAGCTGCACTGCAAACTGGTACAAACTGGACCATTGAAATGATTTACTGTCAGTCTTTCTATCAGCCATGTGTCTAAAGAACATAGTGATAATGAATGATTTCTGACATGATCAGTGAAGCTCACAGACCTTGTGTTGCTGGTTCTACAGAGGCAGTTGAAGACACTGCTGTTGAGGAGACTGCTGTTGAAGACACTGCTGTTGAAGACACTGCTGTTGCTGCTGGCAGACCAGCTGTACTCCGTCAAGGTGGGAAAATCACACAATGCACTGCTGTCACGGTAACACACGAGGCTGCTGCTGGACACTGGCAGCCATTTTGTTAATTACCTATTCTCATGATTTGTTCCCCTCTTTGTCTCCAGCTCGTTTCAGTTTCTGCCTCGATGGTTGGCAGAGTTTCTCTGGCAAGTGCTACTTCTTAGCCAACCATCCTGACAGCTGGGCAAACGCCGAGGTAATAACATCACATTCATAATGGTAGAACAGGAAAAGTTTGGAGCTCTTTCTCAGCTTCATTTGAGTGCAGTATATAATTTCGAAATAAAAAAACAAATCCTCCTCTCCTGTCGTCCTGCAGAGATTCTGTGCTAGCTTCGATGGCAGTCTGGCCTCAGTCCGCAGCATCTGGGAGTATAACTTCCTCCAGCGCATGGTCAAGACTGGTGGCCACAGGTTTGCCTGGATCGGAGGTTACTACTTTGAGGTATGTTCAAACATTTAAAACGCCTGTAGCTTGTCAATGGATTTCAGTGACATTTGGCAGAAAGCTACGGAACATGTTCACATCACTCATGTGTGTATGAGTGGTTTCCTGTTTTAACTTCAGCTTACAACAGGAACAGAAGCAGATGAACAAAGTTTGTGTTTTTTCAGCTCATTCATGAAGAATTGGGTTAAAGTCAGTTTAAAGCTCATGTTTGTATAATTTGACATGAAGTTTGGTCAATGGTTAAATGATTCTGTGGCATTATGTTTTGTTTTTAAGGTTAGTAAAAATGGTGCAGTCTGTGTTTGTATTGAGTCATAAATGTTGAAATGCCACACAAAGGCTCTTTAAACTAAAAGTGACTTCCTCCAGGGTGAATGGAGATGGGAAGATGGCTCACGGTTTGACTACTCCAACTGGGATACATCAAGCTCCACTGCATACTACCAGTGCCTGCTGCTCAACTCTCAAGGTAAGAGAGACCTGTGTCAACCATCACATTTGATGATGATGATGATGATGGTGATGATGATGATGATGATGATGATGATGATGATGATGATGCTTTTGCAGTGTCCAAGGGCTGGTCCAACAATGGCTGCAACATGCGCTTCCCATTCGTGTGTCAGGTCAGACAGCTAGACTGTTAGTCCTCAGTGTTACTGCTGAAGATGATCCTGAATCTGCTGTTTATGTGAAGGAATGTATGTCCCTGTCATGTTTTACATATATGTTCTGTGTATTAAATAAAAATGTGTTGTTGAACGTAAAAATGTGCTTGTTTCTTCTTTGTGGGGCTTCAAAAACAACTCTGTCCAGATCTTCTGTCTGCCATTAGAAGACACCATCTACTGTGTGTTTAACTCCTCCATATTTCAACCGATTGCTCCCCTGGTGAAATGATCCTCTTACACCGTCTTTCAGCTTGACAGAACTGTCACCCTGGACCTTTGCTACAACTTCAATGTCAACATGACTGTCTGTACACACTGTAGCAGTCACCATGTCATGACCAACTTGACCTGCCTGCACGGTAATGCTAGTAATGGCATACCTGATGCTGCATTCCTGATATGCCATGTGTTGGGTTTTTATTCTGAAGCAACATGACAGGAAGGTTAAAACTTTGTGTTGGCTGCTTGCCAAACCTCTGAAATAGCAGCCCTACTGTGGGTGATATCAAAGACAGTAGAGAAACCAAGACGCTTCATTTCCATTTATTTAAATAGGCAGTTGCCTATGTCGGATGATTGTAGGAATACTCTCTGTAGTCTCCCAGTTGTGCCAGACCACTTGTTTGGGCCAGAGGCATGAGGGCAGCCCTGAAATCAGTGGGCCTTGCATGAGTAAAGATTCTCCTTTACCTCGACAATTGACTTATTTGTACACCAGTAGGACCCAGACGCAGATGAATAAGTCAAATAAGTATGCAGGACAGTAATATATGCCTTCAATGCATTGCAGGCACGTTAATATAAAGATTTGAAGAAAAATAGGCATTCACACCAATAATACTAGAATATAAAGATTTGAAAGGTTGTGTAAATGAGATTTTGAACAAAAAATGGCAGCAAACCCCTATTGTCTATGTAAAGATATTGTGGAGTAATGCCACCAATCAGGCCGGTCACTTGGAATGTTTTCAGGGCTAGAAGATTCGGAGTCAATGTAAGCTACCATGCAGTATTTACACCGGGGGTGTACAGGTAGCCTACACGTCACATACGTGATAAGATCACGACCTGCACGGCGTGCGAGGAGTCATATCCACTATCATCCAGGAATTCACAGAACCATAGTTACCTTCATACCTTCTGTTTTTTTTTCCTGGAAGAATTTCTAGAGGGTTGCTTGAATGCTTCAAACTGCACTCCACCACCCTGTGTTCACCTGGTTGAGTGGATGGTGCCTTTGTCTTTATAAATGTCAGGAGGGCCAATGGTTTAACAGGGAGGGATTCACATGCAGTAACATTCACACATACATACATGCACCACCTGCCTGGCAACCTCAGAACTGAGAAACTCAGATTACAGCACACCTGAAGGGGATGCGACTTTGTTCTTTGCTCAGTGAATGGAGCAACAAGAACTGCCTCCTTCTGAACACCTCCAAGACCAAGGAGATGGTCATGGACTTTCGGAGGTCTAGGCCCACCCTTCAGCCAGTCAACATTCCAGGGAAGGACATTGAGGTGGTGCACACTTATAAATACCTAGGTGTGCACCTGGACAGTAAACTTGTCCCTGAACGCCTCTGCAGAACAGAGAGGTTCAGGAGATCCTTTGTTCCCACTGCCATCAGGCTATACAACACCTCAGCCAAAGGATGTGAACTCATTTAATTATAATGGTTCATTTATTATTAACTGTTATTATTATTATCAGCAATGAGTTAATGGACACATGAATTTCCCTTAGGGGATAGATAAAGTATCTATCTATCTATCTATCTATCTGTCTGTCTGTCTGTCTGTCTGTCTGTCTGTCTGTCTGTCTGAAACAAGCTACAGACTGACTGACTGACTGCGGAACCTGTAGAATAAAAATGCTGTAGGATATGACGCAAAGACCGAAGACATGGACAGAAAAACACAACTGAACACAATACATATTTAAAACTAAATAAAATGAATGAAAAGACAACTCAGTATCCCTTTATCCTCGGTGAGTAACCCTCAATATCGTTGACTATGAGCTGTAGAACTGCGTGAAGGAGAAGATGAAGACATTGAACGAGTGGGGGCAGTAAAGACAGGAAAAACAAAGAGGCAAACGTGGTTATGAAATGCCCGTCACGACTACCTGCCATGGGCCCTCAATCATTATGTTGCATTAACGCCACATGGTAACTGGGCCTCGTATTAATTTTAAATACGTCATGGTGACATAAAACCCCTGTATATGGTAACATAATATTATATACAAAATAATATATATGGTTTTTAAAAAAACACTAAAATAGCATTACCTAAGAAGAAATTCTCATAATTAACGAATATAATTTCATGTACTGATTCAGGGGAATGCAATTTTGTAAGATGATAATTATCTGTTAGATAATGAAATATTGGTTTGGATTTTGTTTATTGTTTTTTGTGTTGAATCACTTGTTAGTATGTGCATTATTATATGTTGTGTATTGTGTTATGCGTATTATTGTGTCGTGATGAGCACTGTGAATATGCATAGTTGTATTGTCAACATAACACCTGTACAGACCCCAGGAAGAATAGCTGCTGCAATGCAAAAGCTAAGGGGATCTAAACAAGCATGTCATTTTCAGGCTGTCTTTTAATACAGAGTCAAATGCCTTAGAGACCTCTGAGCCTGGTGTTTTCTTTAAGGGTCTTGCATAAGCCTTTTTTGAAGATACATCAATGACTATCTAATCTAAATGTTAATAAATAATAAAAACTATCATTATTTTTGACCAAGGGCTGCATATCAAAGATCTGCCTGAAACTATTTTAGTTTCTGACTAAATGTATCCTGGAAGGTTTATGCAGAGTATGAGCGTCCTGCTTGGATAAAAAAAATCTTTGACTCATTCCACGTTAACTTTTTTCCGATTTACCCTGTGCGGCTCTGTGGAGTCTCATGAATGGGGTTATAATACACTTACGCTCTGGGGTTTGTAAGTGAGACACAAGGTTCTTTGTGCCACTTTATTGATTCGTTGCACATTAGTTTTCATCATGTGAAGCCTCTTTTGAATGGCGAGAGTAAAACGATATGCTACAGAAGAAACACTCAAACAGACATTCTTGTTGTGTCGGACTCAGATGATGGATTTCACAAGTTTCACCGTGTTCAGAAATATGGCAGGCAGTGACACGTCCATTTCTGCGGACCTGAAGTGATGGTGGTGCAGCATGGAGAGTCTGGTTACTAAAATTTATGTATAATTAAGGGTGTATGGCTTTAAGTGACAGGTGGGTGACGTATACTTGCCAAAAACCGGCATGCAACAAAGTCTTTACCCAATACACATCTCCTCTTTCACCATTTTTGGATTAGCTGGGAGGTGGGTGGGGTCAGACACTGCCATGAAGGCTACGGTGGAGCAGCTCACTCTGATCTTCAAAACCGCTCTTCAGAAACCTGTGGGTGACGTCACAGAGGCTACGTCCATCCTTATACACAGTCTGTGGGAAAGGCATGGCTTTTTTCAGAGTCCATTGATTAGGAGGACGCCCTGTTTTACATGTGCTGCAGAGAGGGCAGGGATTGGTGGACGGAGGAGCCATACACAATCAGAGTTTTTTCACCAGGAGACTGTCCCTTGAGGTCTGACTTCTTTGGAAGACAGCCATTTAGCTTTTAACCATCATTTTCAATCAAGTCATTACAGGTATGGGCCGTAGTGATTGGCTGGCCATCAACAAAGATGAGAAAGGTGAAAATGATGAGATGATTTGACAACATAGTCTCCTGCACTTAAAATTTGAAGAAGGGCCATAGTAACGTCATTTGACGTCAGTCTCAGTTGCTGGAGCAGGGACACGTAAGTTGAAGGGGGGGCTGATTTTTTTTTAAAAATAAATCTAAATAAATTTAAAAATTAATATCTTCCATGAGTTTGATTGAATACAGCTATAGCCTTCTCTAGGGCCACTAAAATGAGAACAATACATTTAAGTTTCATTCATTCTTTATTTTTTCTTGTATTAATCATTCATACTCCAGCATTTATTTTGCATTATTTACACTTTGCTTTTCATATCACAGGTTTTGACACTCTCTTTCTCATAGGAACACCTGTGACAACCTCATACCCACTCTCCCCTCATAGACAAGACGACAATAGACGGCCCTTCTCCACAGACATCTGGGGGTGATATTGCCTGATGGGAAATAGTGATGGGAGAGAAATCCACATTTGGAGAAGGGAAAAAACTGAAATGGTGAGTCACTGGTCATAGCTCTTTGCTACATTGCTCACATGGTTTCAGACACTGCACACCATGGATCAAAGCCTTTAAACCAACTGACATTATTTTCCTCCAAAGACAAGATATACATGCTGATAATTTGTCCACTGCCATAGAGACTATAACACTTTTAACCCCACAATAACAAAATCATGGTGAATCAGTCTCTATTCATTCAATTTAGCAAGTCCAGAGAAAAAGTAATAAATGTATTTATGACAATTTCTTGTTCATTGTTTAGAAATCAAATCCTTTTTTTTTAATAACACAAAGACAAATTAAAATCAGTGACTTAGTGATGATACAAAATCAGTGTTTTCCAGAGTCACTGCAGTGTTTGGGTCGATGGTGTGACAAAACTCCTACACCACAAGAGGAAATGATTTTTGTAACATTTTTGTCATTTTCATCGTGTCCCCTGCACTTGAACCATTCTATGGTTAAAGAAGATTGGACATGAGACCAGGGTCACAAATGCTGAGAGCTGCAGTTGGCAGAAAGGCTCAGTGCAGACCAGTAGCGGGACAGGTGATATGTTAAAAAATGAAGTTGTTCTCTACCTCACAGAAAAGCAAGTGTACAAAAGTTTGACTTGCTATTAAAATTCATTATGTTAAACAATCAGATAAAAGTCTACAGTCAAATTCCTTTTACAAAGAAAAGATGAATTCATCTTAAAATCGGCTTAACTGTACACAATTCAAATTCAAAAAGACATTGTATTTAACTGTCTTCGAAAGCCGATTGTACCAAATTAAATGGGTATAATTACTAAAAAACATAAATGTACAAAATGAAAAAAAGGAAAATTATTCTATAATAGTGTCAAGAAAATGCTAAAAGTATAACTACAGTTCATGTTAAAAAGCAATCAAGAAGTTACTGTACAGGGAATACCATCATCAATCATCACCAGAGTTAGAAGATGACGGCAACCCTATGTACTACACAAATAATATCCTAAATTGGGAACATGTTGGTAGTATACACAGTACACAGATTCTCTTTTCCACAAATACCCACAAGTCTGCACAGTTGTCCTTGTTAGGACATTGCATTGACTTCCATTCATTGTGGACAGCCTACCTTAACCATGACTGGGCTTTGGTCCACATTAGGACTACTGGTCCCAACAAGGTCAGTGTTTATACCAGAAAAAGTCCCAAAGAGGAAACAGACACACACACCTTGTGACATTAGCCCCTTTTACACAGAGGCCCTGTTGTATTGCCCTGAAGAAGACCCTTCATTATGGTGCCTTTGCTCGGCAGCATAATCCTGCCCCCGTGTGTGATTTCACATAGATAGCATGCTGGTTCCAGAGTCAAAGGCATAATGTTTAATAAAACAACAGCAGCATCTGTCTCTTTTAGAAGACATTGATTTAGCTCTGTGACTACCTCTGCTTAAAGACAGAACCCCCCCCCCCCCCCCCCCCCCCCCCCCAATTCTGTGTCTGTGTTTGTAACTTTCATACAGAACGGTGAGGCAGAGTAAATGCTCAACAGTCCGGCCTTGAACAGGCTGTGTAAAGGGGGCTATTGTGATATGGGGCCATTTAAAGAGCCAACCCAGAGAATGGGCAGTGTGTTCTCAGTTGGTGGATGAGGAGCTTAGAAGAAAAGTTGTTATCAATGTTGCTGAGACAAGAATGTCTTATTTATTAGTCATAGATTAAAGGCCCCATATTAGAAAGCTTTCTGTTGTTTTTGCATACACTCCACTTCTGTGGCTAAAAATAAGGCTTTTCATGATGCTTTGTCCTGAAAACGCTTACCAAGAGGAATAATAATCTAAAATAATTAAATGTCCTAAACTGACAAACATACTCACAATACTAAACCTCATTTAGAGGTTCAGATGAGCTGCTGTTCTCAGCCCATCTGAGTCAAATGAGGTAAATCCAGAGTGGAGGCCTGATTGGACAGATTACAGTTACATCTTTAGTGTTGGCAGCCAATCAAAAGCAAATTCAGGTATGATATATTTCCTGAAGTTAATGAGTCGTGAAATGCTGGCGGCCATTCTGTACGCCCCATATTTCTTTAAATGATACATACTACAATACCCCTGAGCCTCGGCTGCCATTGCCATGGAGGAGAGGCCAGTGCGAGGTACAAATCTGAGAGGTAACCACTTCAAAAAGCTTTGTCATTACTGTTGAGAACAAAAGCATCATAGTTGCAGATTTCACCCACAATTAAAGCAGATTTTAAGACTTTACTTATCGCCTGCTGTTAGCAGCTCACATGACAGAATTTGAAGCTCAGTGATTAGATGTTTCTGGCTGAAACGTACCGTGGCCGTCCATCTTGTTTTTATGTACACGAGCTTGTAGCTTTGACTTTTTATCAAAGGACCAGATATTTTCGAACACAGTTCTTAACCTTTAGTACCAATGATTTAACCAGAAGAATTTCATGCCAATCAAAGCTGGGAGTCATGTAACACTTCAATGGGTCAGATTCAGAGTCTCCATTGAATGTCTGTGATTACACACAAAGAGGGGAGTTTAAATGCATATAAATATGGAACCTTTAAAGTTGTCTGTTTAATCACAGCTTTTGAGAAGTCCTTGTCTACCAGAAAAAAGTCCTAAAGATGGTCTTATTTTTTGTGGGTGACATATCGATGGTGAATGTTGTGTTGTAATACTAACTAGTCAGTGACAACCACAGATTAAAGTTTTACCAATCCCAGTGTCTGTGAAAAATCACTGTGATTTGTTGATATCCACTAATAGTATTTGACAGTCCACCACCAGGACCAAGCTAAACTGATTTGAAATGTGTTTTTTCTGCTTGTGCAGACCAGGTCGTGACCTCTCTTGTGCTCTCCACCCTCCTGAGCCTTCTAACACTCTGCTCAATCTGAGGGGCTTTCTGGCTCTTCGTTGGTCTGGGGGTTTTACACACAGTGAAGATCATTCAACTAGAGGAACTTAACACTGAGGCCTTGAAGCGAATTCTCAGAGCTTGATTCTAGGCAATCACCTTCATCACATCCTCAGTATTTTCTCACTGGTATCCCACTGTTGATGGGATACAACAGCATCTATATCCAATGAAACCATGTGAACCATCAAAAGGGACAAATATACAATAAAGACAGATGTAAATACTGGTTCCTGTGAATCTAAGGTTAACTTGTACCACAGTGGCTCAATAGTAATAGGCCCAAATGACAAGGCCTTAGTTTGGTCTTTTGGCATTTCACAAACAATCAGAAACAAACAAAGCCTATTACAGAAAACCATTGAGTCAAAAGTAAGAGGTAACATAAGGAATGACATTACATGAGGGTTATAGTAATGATAAAAAAGTAACACAGGTGGATAACTCAAAGTAACAACTGGATTTGTTCCATTAGCTTACAGGCGGAGGTGTAGTTAATCAGAAAAACCACAAGAGGGAGCAACAGCACTAAACTTCAACCCCAAGCAGGCAAGAAGCACATCGTCTGTCTCCTGTCTTCATTCTTGGTTTCCTTGTTTTTATTAATAGCTAAAGTACCTGAACAGTACCATACAAGTTAATTTTACTCTACTCCTATCCTATACTACATTCATTCACCATCATTGGCTCTTTCTGCTACATTATTCCTGTTCTCCTCCCTCCAGTAACCTCCCCCACTGCTCCAACTTCTTCCTCTTTGTCCTTTCAATCCCCATTTTCTACTGAACTGCTCTGACATTTTACCATTCTTTTATATTACTCTCTCTCTCTCAGTAAAGTAAACTTGTTTTGTCCTTAATATTAGTACCGATTCATTCACACTTTTCGACATTTAGTACCTAGCTGTTTGGTAGCTGAAACCGTGAGTGCCCTCATTCTCCTTCTGATTTCTTATATTTCTCCTGTGCATTGTTTTCCTTTCTGTGATGATGCTTCCTCAAACTCCCACTTCTGTTGATGTGCTTGTTTGAAAACTGTGAAATTTGGACAGACTTGCATTGACAAGGTGAACCCAACGCTGACTCAATCAACACCTTGAAAAGTGGTCACTTTTGCAAAACATAATCAATGTCTTGTACAACCCGAAATGTCCCCCCTGCACTCATTTTAAGTGCTGGCAGAGAGAGTCTTTCTCAGTTCAGGACCTCCTCTTTTCCTCACTGTTATTTTCATGGTGAGGCCCCACTTCTCTTCCTCTACTCCTGGTTCACCCGTCCAGCCTTAACTGCTCTCTCACTGATGTCTCCTCCTTCTCTGCTGGCCGTTTGTCCTTTCACTTTTCCATCAGTCCATCATCCTCTGTGATGCCCTGAGCCCTCAGCTCTTCCAGGACGTTGTCGAGGTGTCCAGGGTCGGGGAAGCCGTGGCCCGTCAGGTTGGAGCCAAACTCCGTCTTATGGTGGACCTTACAGGGAAGGGAAAAGTTGCCTTTAGTTTCAGTGGCAACAAATCTAATGTGCATGTATCACTCACCACGATCAAATCATTCTTGAGTGTTGAGTCTCACCTCGTTCCAGATGACGGTGTCGGACTCTCCTGTAGTGCTTGATGTACCAACTGAGAAGATCAATCTGCGGTCCCATGCTACCAGGAGCAGTCTCAGTACCTGACGACAAGGTAGGGTTAAAGATGAAATGTCAATTTTAAAAACAACTTTAAAAATGTATCTGTATGAACAACAGATGTAGGCAGATTAATGGGTGTCTGAAAAGCCCCTTTTTCCACTGGTCAAAAAAACCCACTAAGACCCGGGAACAATCAGCGTTCACCGGTCAAATGACTCTGCAGTAGACAGAATATTTATCGGCTCCGGCTTTGATCAGCATTGATGTAAATACAACACCTGGGTGAAGTCATTCATTTTCACCCCTTTTCCTGCTGTGACGTCTGTCAGAGCACACACACTGTGGACACACCTGTCACCTGTCCAACAAGGTGCTGTTAAACCAGAAACACCGCGGTTACACCTTCCTCCGAGAGTGAAGCTGCAGCCCTGAAATAAGTTTTAAAAACCACACAGTCACTGGTCGAAGCGTCTCACACAGAGACTCTGACAGTGACAGGAGCAACAACCCGGGGACGAGATGTTTTCCCAGCAGCTCACTCTCTCTCCCGTGTCTGTGTGTGTGCTCTGTAAGTGCATGTGATGACATCACTCCTTGCAGTCATGTGTGTCCTCCGTCCGAACAGAAAGACAAACTGCACTGGCAGTGGAGAAGGGGTCAATCGGCTTTTACTAGCGAGTTTACCCCATGTTTAAAAAAAAAAAAACATTAATGCTGGTGGAAACTGGGTATAAAGAGATGGTGGACTGTGTTTACCTTGCGTCCTTTCTCGCTGTCTGGGAGGTAGCAGTGTCTGGGGAAGCCTCTGGCCGTGAAGGGCTTCCCTGGGTTTGGATGCTCTGGTCCCTGAGAGGAAGAGGAGGAGGTGGGGGGTGGGGGGGGTTTAACATTATTGGCTCTAACAGTGTCACACGACATGGAATAAAATAAACACTACTGTCAGCCCAGATTTTTTCAAGTACCTGAATGCCTGGTGGGATGTTGTAGATGATGCGTATGGTTTTGCAGTCAGGGTGCCCTGGTAGAGAATGAGGGATGACGTGATACTCCATCTTCCCTGCCGGTTGGTTGCCTGTCTTTACGCCATAGATGGTTTTACACGTGGGACACTGAAGACTGAAAAGAGGGATTGATTACAGGGGTTATTTAATTAAAACCTGTGAGGGAATGAAAAGGGGTGTTATGTGTCTCTAACCTACCTGCCATCCTTGTTGCCATTATTGTACATAGCCACCAGACACTGGAAATGGTACTGGTGTCCACACTGTGCAAGTCGCCCAACTGAGTCTGCCCTGGAAACAGGCCCCACCCCTGGACCTTTGTATCCGGATGGACCCCCCAATGGCTCCATACAAATGGTACAGTCCTAGGGAAGACAAAGAAAGGGGGAAAAAAAGAAAAGTCATTATGAAAAGCTTCTCTCTCTAGATCCGAGTTAATACTTCAAAGATATAAAATATAAAGATGTATTCACTAACACATAACGTACCTCCTCTGGTGGACTTTTAACTTTCTGCAGGTACTTCTTCACCACCTCCTCTGGAGTTTTACCTGCAGACAAAGGGGAGAGGCAACAGAGAGGAGTGATGAATGGATGGCCGTTAACCTGCGTGACACCCGTCTTCTCATATTGACAGAACAGCTACGTCACTGAGCAGAAAGGCGGGTAAGAAACAGAGAGAACAACTGGTGAAGTCTCTCTTTCATCAGACTCAGGCTGAAACTATTTTAATGCTTTACCCTTGCGAGCTTGTTTCTTGGTGGTCTTCCTGCAACAGTGTCCAAAGCCTGGCACTGGTTTGATGTCACTCTTGCTGACGGGCGGAGGATGCAGCACAAGTTTAGGAGGCCTCGTCAGGCACACAGGCAGAGCGGCGGCACTCATCAGAATTCCTGTGATCCCTGAAACACAAAATAAAAACAAAAAAAAAAAACATTTGTTAGAAGAGAAATCCTCTTTGGTTTCTTCTATATCTACGGCAGTGGGTTCCTTGGTGTGTGTGTCTGCTCACCGGCCAGTGCAGGGTGAACAGGACTGGATCCACTGAGGTTCTTCACTGGGACGGTGGGCACACTGCAACAGAAAAGACAAACTGTCAAGTGAAGTGTATTTCACACACTTCTCTCCTCCCAGGCCTATAATGGCTCTCTGATCAGACATTAGAGTCTGACTAATAGTATGTGACTGAATACTCACTTTGAAAAACTGATGACTGTCATTCTCACAGTCAGAGGTCACCAAAACCAAAATTCACACAAAGACAAAAAGGAAAACAGGCAAACGTTGTCAGCTGGATATATAAGTATCCTGTGTGCCTCTGTGTTCTTTACAGAAACATTGAAAAGGGACAAGAATTGAAGAAAACTTCAAAAGTTTGTCAAAACGACACAAAAAGCAGCTTAGTTCTCCTCCTTCCTCTTTCTGCTGTGTGTCTGTTCTTCTCTCCCTACTTCTCCTCCTCCTCTGCTTGTATCTCCTCGTCTCGCAGCGTGCTGGGGAGCATATGAATGACCACACTGCGCTGTCTGCGTGTGTTTAATGAGAGCTAATCCTCGGAGTTTCCATCTGCTCACTGAGCTCACAGACATGTACGTCACACAGGTGCTTTCTGGGGGATTACCTGCTTCATCACAAAGCCCATCATCATCATCATTATCATCATCTCTAAATGACTAAAACACGTCACACAGATCACTGTTTTTCATAAAACTGGATGGGATATATATCTGATTCATATCTGTTCACATCTTTGAGCTTTATTCTTACAAACGGTGGGGTCAGGTGATAATAACTACTCCAGCTGACAGATGTATGCACTAACACCACTGTTCAGCAGTGGGTCAGTGGCACATTAGTCCATTATAGACCTGGAGGCTGCTCAGGCTGTAGAACAAAACACACACGCACATTGTGAGTGTGTGTTTGGCATTACAGTCTATATTGCATAGAAAACAGCTGCTGAAGAGGAGAGAATAAACACACATGCTAAAGACGTGTGGAGGCAGTAAGTCCCAACTGTCTGATTGCAGATCTGCTGTTAACTTAAGTCTGAGGCTGCGTCCGCACTGCTACGTTTTTATGTTAAAATGAAAACCATCTCTGTCCAGACTAACGCACCGGAAAACACACACATACATGAGCATTCACATACACTGTGTACGCTGGTGTAAACAAGAAGCAGGCTGTCTACTCTGCAGTTGGTTAGTCACACAAAATACTCTGAACAAGGAACAACAGAGACAGTCGTAGTGTTAAAATACAGAATTTAACCGAACAGCTGCTAGAAAAGACAATCAAGACACTGTAATTCATTATCACAAACTCTGGGGTTGTGTTTTATTTTGAAAACTCTGCCGTTGTGTTGTAGTCTGGGATACAGAAGCAGAAAGCTTAAGAAACGATGATGTAGACACCCACGGTCTCTCTTATCTCTCTTATCAGCCTGGACTACCAGCGGTGAATACAACATGATAATGAATTACAGTGTTACTAACTGTGTTGTCTTTGCTAGCAGCTGTTGATCACTTATATTCTCTATTTTAACACTTCCGCTGTCTTTGCTTTTGCATGCGTAGTATTTTGCGTGACTAATCAACTGTAGAGAAGACAATCTGCTTCCTGTTTACACCGGCTCGCACATGCTCAGTGTACGTATATGCTCATGTATGCAAGTATTTTCAAGTGTGTTAGTGTGGACGGACATCATTTTCAATTTAAAATGAAAATGTAGTAGGATGGACGCAGCCTTTGCTCCATATTAAAGAGTGACCAAAGGATAGCAGCGCTCATCTCCACAGTCCTCTGATCTACCAACTGAGCTATGAAAAGGGTAACAGCTTAAACCTTCGTACAAATGCAAACGCATTCACTCCTACTAATAGACTAGTGTAGTCAGTGTTCCAGACTTAACAGAAGGGCAGAGAGCGTTGATGATCTGTTGTTTCCTGTTGTTGGGTTAGCTTTAACAGGCTTTCTGTCAGAGCACTAAGCTGCTTTCACTTAACCCCACTCAGTGACACATGACAACACACTAGTGAATGACTCACTGGGGTGTGTGTGGGTGTGTGTATGCGTGTGTGCATGTGTGTCCGTCTAAGTCTGCGCTAATGTGGATGACGAAAAGAGTATGAGGAAAGTGTGTGTGAAATGAGGTGTTACTTCACATGCTCCAGAGAGAGAAAAAACAAAGCAAAGTGTGAGTAATAAAACAGTAAACATACAGAGTGAGGGCTAAACAAACACAACCACTGATGGTAGATGTCAACACATGATACTGGTCCACTCTAAGCTTCCACAACACACTGATAACTGAAGCTCTATCACAGATTAACAGAACGGCAATACACAAAGAGGCCAACACCACAGTAGATTACTACAGAGGGTCAGATCCACACACCTTCCATGGGCCTCCACTTTAAACACTGAGCTACAGAGCTACACTCAACAATGGGACACTTGATTGATTTTGTGCACATTATTTAATACTTGTACTACATTGGGTACCTGCATAGGTGGACAGGTTTATACATGTGTCATCTACAGGTACAGTCATAAATAGAGATGAAACCGTATAAAAATTTAACATCCCCATTATAGTGACCAAAATGATCACAGGTATCAGTAGTATCACGGTGTTGTTAAAATGTTTTTTCATGGAAACCACAAATAAATAATTAGCAGCACATTTAAACATTAAAATGATGTCCAACACATCTGCGTCACAGATGAGGACAGCTGTGGCTTAATTCTGTCTCATCTAGGTGAAATAACAGCAGACAACTCTTTTATGTTTGATGGGATATGCCAATCCCACAGTCAGTCAGTCAGTCGTCAGAAGGCAGCTTCACAACAAGCACACGGTGAGAATACATGGCTAAATGTGGTCGGTATCACACCTTAATCACATCAAATTTCCATCCACGTTGATCAGATTAGTCCGAACGTCGCTCTGTAGCGCAGCAGCTCTGCTGTCGTATGCAGTCAAAGTAGTTTAAGATCTTAAACTTGTCATGGAGATTTATTTATGACAACATATGAAAGACAAACACCTCCCTCCGTTATAAATAGATTTCCTGTGATGATGGATGGGAAACACTTATATTAGAACTGTGCTGGACTAAGGCAATGAGTGACAATGACAGTGATGTGACACACATACACACACTAATCACTTGTTGCACATCACTGGGTGTATTAATAATTAACAGGCTGCTGCGTGAGCAAGGAAGTCTTTACGGTATGAGGTAAGGAAGAGACAAGGAAGAGTTAAACCAAGTCTGATCATGTATAATCTTGATGTCACCATAATTTTGATTAGCAAGACCACTGCCATCCAAGAAAAGATCTGAAAGGAAAATGGACTCAATGGAGTAGTCAGGAGGGGAATAACAGGGCGGTGTCTTACCCCAGTCTACCCTACATATACATATACAGTACATGATATTGGAATTAGTGAGCATATGATGTAGTGCATGACACGTGGGAGGAGTTATTTTGGGTGTGTAGGATTTTTCTGCATAGATAGTGTTGGGTTTTATTTGTGCCAAAAAAAATGTTTCCATACTAGAGCGTCCTAGAGTTTTTCTACAGATGGTTCCTGATTTAATACATTTTTTAATTTTAATATTTTATTTGTAAGTATTCTATTTTATTAACATGTAACACAAATACAGAGGGATCTACCACTCCAGGAGACAAAGACAGAACGCTGCTCTTCTAAGGCTCCAAGGCATTACAGTTAACGTAACAATAACCTCCAGCCAGAAAATGAATGTCTACAGTCTATTACATCTACCAAGAGAAGCATATGTATAGAAACAGTACATGTACAAAACATACCATGTCTACATACCTGCATGCACAGACACACATGCACATACACAGACCAATCCTGATAAATAAGACAGGATGGTTGCCACATTCGATCAAAGGTTGTAGAGCGAAGACAAACAGTAAATCTAATTCTCTCCAGATGCAACAGATTAGTGACCTCTACTAGCCAAGTCTTAAAAGAAGGCACATCTTCAGTTTTCCAAAGGGTTCAAATCTTCCTCTTTGCAGTGACTGTGCAATATTGTATTGTCTTTTATGCCGAGTGACGGGCCGCGCCTAGAATGGCAGCACATGGATGTGGTGTAACACAGTTATATACTTAAGAAAGGCACTTGAAAATATCTTGCATATCAGAATCTCTTTACTTTGGGGCAGAAACAGAAAAGGTGACCTCAGGTGCCTTCTGCTGATTTACATTTGAGGCAGATTGTCTGATTGCATTCATTAAGTTTTTGTGTAACTGCTTGTGTTTTTACAACATTTAACATTTTAGAGACTTCCAGCTTGTTTTGTTGAGTAAAAAAAGGTTTGTAGTAAAAGTTTGTATAATAGGAAGTTTTGTTTTGGTATCAGTATCAATATCAAAGTATTGTATCAGCACAGGAATCTAAAAGTGTAGAGATAATATAAACTAAAAATAGTTTATTTAACTAATTATTTACCACTTTGCTTAATTACACAGCCATTTATCTATATATTTATTTGCATCTGTCTATCTATGTCAACTTTGGTCCTCCATAAAATATGACCCAAAATGGAGGAAGTATTAGGGGAGTAACAGGAAACCAGGGAGCCCTGGTGGAAAACGAGACCAATGAAGAAGAAAAAGAAAAAGCCCGAGATCTTTGAAAAAGGAAGATCCCGTCCCTGCCTGAGGGGTATGGCCTGAATGGGACTTCAGTCTTTTGACCCCCAGCGACCTCAAACACACCCTCCTCCTCTCCGCCTGCTTCCCACCAGATCACACACTCCCCCAGCTTTGTCTCACATACTCCCTCCACCCCTCTTCCCTCTGCTCCTCCTATTCCCCCGGGCAAAGATGGACATCAGCTGGACTGATTTAGACACCAGACAATAACACACTCCCACACATTCTCACACACATATTGTCACAAACACATAAAGCCTCCCATACATGGTCACACACACACACACACACACACACAGAGTTTTTTTTTCCAGACAACTTCATGATGTTTCAAGCTGATTTTCTCTGTTTTAGTGAAAATTATTTGATGTGA